GGAAGACAGAGATGCATGGGGCAGTGCCTTCAGTGAGGAAATGGCCCTTTCCTGCCACAGCAGCACTTATTCCCCTCTATCCCTTTCCCCACTGGCAGCAGCCGCAATGACGTCCCCGTTCTCCACAGCCTCAGCCCAGCTCTGCTGCTCCCCTTCCCCTGGCAGGGCCTGGAGCCTGGCCTGGAGCCTGACACCCACGTGCCTGGTGGGCGAGGCAGCGAGTTTGAGGGAAGTACGAAGGGGGTTGGTTACACAGCTGGGCACAATAGGGTAGCCTGATGACAATGGAGTGAACTTGGAATGGCAGAGAGGAGAACAACCAAAGTGCCTCTCCTTTGCTCTTACTCCTGAAATACCTGATGTACTCCACCATTTCAGGATACAAACCACACGGCCCTTGTGCTGATGGCCCTGCTGATAGAGGAGAGAAAGCAGGGGCAAGCTGGAAGGACCTTGCTCATACAGAGCCACAAAGGGAAAACAGACTATCAAATTCGATGTGATAGTAAAAGGGAAGGATAGAAAGAATCTGAGATTAGGAATCAAAAGGAGGAGAGACTGTGATTTGGGCAGGGCAGTTATGTTTTTTTACATATGTTTTAAATGGATTAAGAGGGCCAATCATGGAGGTTCAAGTAAATAGGGAAGAAATTATAGCAGTCATTTGAGGTCAGACATGTTCAAGACCTTCTGCAGTGAGCAAAATTAACGTGTGCTGTGAAAAAAACTCACCAGAGGTAAAAACCAAAGCAAATGAAAAGTATGCAAGCATCACACCTGCATGTTCTCTGTAATACGATTCCACTGCAGGGAGACTACAGTATGACCACAAATGTTGTCACACAAACATTTGCAAAATGAGAACAACTATTACATTACTATTTTATTTTGTGAGAGTGAATGAGAGGCTGTAAAAGAAATGGGAAAATGCCTTCCTACAAAAGCAGCCCAAAATACTGTAAAATCTATACATGTCTATACAGGGTGAAAATGTAGGTTATAATTGTATTCCTGGGAAACTTATCATTTCAAGTAGCCAAGAACAAGCAAAAATAACCATTTAAAATATCCAACACAGCCAGTAGCCAATAATGATTATTCTGCTAAATAGATTTTTAAAATGTGGTTATTCTTTCTGGTCTGCTAGTTTCATGACAGTATGACTTCTGACAGCAGCATATAACTCATATAATAGAAGAGATAATCAGTGGTTCGTCCATCTTTTTTTGGTTCATTTGGATCTTGTAGATTTGGTAGATCTAGTTGAAATTTTGAAGCTTAGCAGGAACAGGGTCATTGGTTTTACACTCATTTTTTGACGTGGCATGGTGGGATTTAAGAAAGTATGGGTCTAGATATGAAAACATGCAGACATGAAAAGATTCTTCACTGTTAGCATTTACGTAAAAGGAATTTGTTTGTGCTATATGGTCATTCCATTGAATTACAAACTTAATTTTACATGATACACCATGACAATGCTGGCCAAAACATCCCCTTTCTGTCAAAACTGACACTTATTGTGCAGACATATAATTTTTGAGCAACTTTCCTCAGGCAAGGTTTTTTCAGACTCATCATGTGATGCATGGTTGAAAACAGAAATTACAGTGTATGTGGGAGAGCCATTTTCAAGTCCTCAGATTAAAACTGAGGAATAAGGATGGCAAAGGTGCTCCCACATCTCAGGTGATCAGGTGATTACCCTGCCTCTTGGATCGTGGAGTATTTTAGGATAACATAGTAGGGAATCTCTCTCTCTCTTCCCTCCCCCCCTGGCCCCCCCAGTGTTTGAAACATGATTTATTATTTTTCTTCACTGAAAAATGGTTTCTCTAATTACTGAAAAAATGCCAAAGAAAGGGAACTGCTATATTTCTAGAGTCTCATTTTACTACTACCAGAAAACAAAGTACCTTCTTTATCATCTTGGGGGAAGATACGCTGTCCTTTTTTCCTATTTTCCTTTTTCTCTTTTTCCTTTTCCTGTGTTTTCTTCTCTTCGGTTTCTGATATTTCTAAATGTTTGCTGCTTCTAGCTGTTTCAGAGCAAGTCACTGATAAAGCCCTCAGAATTGTTAGTGCGAGAATCTTCACTTCTGTATTCTCTACTGCATCACCTACGATCATTACCTCTGCTACAGCTGTTGCTTCTGATACTTTTGTGCTTTGGGGAATCTTTAGTATCCCTGCTTTCTGTGCCATGTTCTGACTTATTATCTTCTGTCACTAAAATATGGAGGAAACAATCATCTCAGTTCACCACTGTGTTATGGTAAAAGACTTGAAAGTTGATCTCCATAACTTATCAGGAATCAGAATGTTATTGAGTTCTTTACAGTTAACGTAAACAATACTAAACAGTGTTCAACTACATTAAAAGATGCTAAGAAATACTAAGATACCCTTAAAAAAATGCAGTCATTACTCTTTAACCCATTAAAATAATTTTGTGGTCTGCAGTAAGTGGGTAAGTTTGTTTCCAGAATGACCTGCAATATGAAATATAACTAGGTTTTATCTCAAAATTTACTATGATACTGGCATGTATTTTCTAAAGACTTACAAGGTACTACCATTTAAATGTAAATAGATAACACAGTTTGTTTCCTACAATGTATACATTTTCTCCATGATTCATGTAATTTAAAAGAAGTGTAATCGTATTTATGCTCAATACCTACAAAGTGCTTTACAATATTAAAAAGGTAATTGTTCAAGTCTCTAGAAACTAGATCTTTCTGTGTTTTAGTAGTATTTTTAGCTTTCCCTTCATGTAATAAAAATATCATTTAGACATATTTTTCAATAATTAGATATCAATCAGATCACAACATCAACTTATGCATTAAAAATAGAAAAAAAAAAATCTTAGCTGTCATATTAACATTATAGGTAGAGGATATAGCAGCACCTAAAGCTACACAACAGAATAGCTGACTTAGAGACTGAAATAAAGGTTTTCTTAAACTTTTCGAATGCTCTTTATTATATTTATTTTCAAGTCACAATTGTTTGTAAAAACAAAAAAGCTTGCTAAATAAAACCTCGCAATGTAATAAAAGCGTCTCTGCACAATTTCAGAAGAAAATTAGGGGAAATTTCAGTGTTTTTTTAATGAAAACAATTTCTTCACAGCCTAACTGTACTTAACACATTTGTTTGCTTTTGAAAATTCTGCAAGACACTTGTCTCCATGTCTACGCACCCATATAGCTTGGAAAGTATCACCTGTAATGCACTGTTGTTGTCAGAGATGCGGTTCTCTGATGAGATGATGATCTCATTTTGTTTGATCAGGTTCTAAGTAACATTGATGCTTCCTCTGGAATTGTCTTTTCTCAGTAGTCCAATTTTCAAGCAAAACAAACTTGTCTAATTGTTTGGCTTTTTAAAAAAACATATATTTAGCATAAAACATAGAATGCTGACTGATTTTCTACATCTTTGTGAGTATCTGTTACACCTCTTTTTTTCTCCCTACCGAGGCTACTGTAGAGTAGAACAGATTACCTCACACACCTGGCAGCATTATTTAAACACTGTGGTTCTAGTAAAAAGAAAATTTCTTGGGATACGGTTCAATTTGTTTCATTTTCTTAATATCACATGAAGACTACTCAGGCCACAGTTTTATAGATGCAGAATTCTACCCAGTAGTAGAATAAGTTGTATATTTGTGTGTGTGTGTGTGTGTGTGTGTGTTAAAAAGGGTTGGGCAATCAGGTGAAGAAATTTGCGTGGGGTTAAAATTATATTTTAGTTCAGATGGATTTTAGCAAGTAGCCTTCACTAAGAAAATGAGAAGATATTTTTAGAACATTCTAAATCCTCTGTTGGCATTTTTGCTTTGTGGTGGCGTTTTATTTTCAATTAAATTAAATTTCTTAAAGGGGAGAGGGGAATCACGTAACTGCCAAAGAAAATTAAAAAGTGTAATTTAGGATTCCACAAAATGTTCTAGGTTGAATCAAAACAGTGTCATTACTCTTCATTCCCTTACATGAATGACTCTTCCTCGTGGAAGACTGAGGAATGCCCAGTGTCCTACTAAATTTGAGCCAATGCAATAATCCCTAAGAGATGAGAACTCGTATTTTAAGATGAGGATTAAGCAAAAGCCATCTTGGTACACAGATTTATATTCTGTTTAAATTTGATTTGGCACTGTCAACACTTCCTGGCCAAACTGTCTTTAAATCAAATTAGCATAAATTAAACTTAAAACTACTGCTTAAATTTGTTTTGACGAGAAGCGTGGGCTGAACCTCACCACACAGCTTCAAGAGCAGATGTTGAGAAGTAAATAAAATAGAAGACAGAAAAAGCAAAAGGTGAAGGACAAGAAACAGAGAAATGAAAGATATTGCTATAGAAATGAAGAAAAAAAAAGCAGTAGCTGAAGGGGGACTGAAATGGACAAACACTAGGAGAATGCATGTTGAAGGAGGAGATGCAGAAACAAAAATAATTAGGGCCATATCTGTCTGTCAAAGAGGAAGATGCCATTTCAAGCATTCAGAAACTGCAAAACTGTCACAAGGAAGCGTTACTTGTAGTTTGTGTGCAAAAACAGAGTACGTAAAGGAAGGGGCAGTCCTGGTGGGAGAAACACTGACTTCCCAGACCAGCATGGCGCAGCAGTCCCTCAGCCTCACAGCCCAGCCCTGCGCCCCAGGGGAACCAAGCCGGGTGCCAGGGCCCACCTGCTCAGGCAGCAAGGGCACGGGCGTACCCAGGGCCCTCAGACCTGTCCCCCCCAATACAGCTCCCTGGTGTGGTCCACGCAAGCCAGAGCTCCCCCACACGCCCTCACGAGTGCAGGGTTCCCCCGGGTGCTGGTGGGGTCCAACCTCCCCAGCAGCCTCGGAAGCCTTGAAGCCCTGCGGCCTC